CTAAGTAGTACTAATCATGTAAGAGTCCTAACCAGATCTTTCTGTACCTCTTTGGCCCAGGCCGGTTTGTCACTGGGGTTGACGGAGTCTTTGTAGTGGTATAGTGTTTTTTTGTCTGCAGGTCGTGGCTCTTGTTGCTGTTGCTGCAGTGAGACCAGGTAGGCCCTTTCCTGCTGCAGCTGCCGCTGTAACCGCTCAGCCTGTCTCTGCTCCTCCAACTGCTTCCGTTTGTATTCCTAGACACACCAGAGAACCAGAATGAGATGAAAACAAAATAATACTAACAGGTTTGGACTTTTGTACTCCTAAAAATAACTGACGGCTATCAGAGGTTTAAAAGAACTTCAAACTCGACAGCTTTATAAGCTAATCCCATCGATGGCCTGATGGCCGTGGATCCTGAGTCTAATTTCCCAGAGAACTGAGCAATAACAAACAGAGCTGCCACAAATCCCAAACGCCCCTGATCAATTCACACAATCGATACTCTTTGTGAGTGCACTGATCGCGGAGGGGACAGACAGATGGCATAAGCGCAGTAGATGAAAAGAAAGGAAGTGCAAGAACTTTAAAGGTGAAAGTTGAAATGATAGTTTACCAGGAGAAGAGCTTGTTCCTGGAGAAGCTGCTGTTGAAGAATCTCCAGCTGCCTTTGTTCTTCTTCTAACTGCCGGCGGATATACTCCTAACCCCATAGCACAGTGCATCAGAACGAGAGTGAGAAAGAGAGAGAAGAAAAAGAGATGACAGGGCCTTCAAAGAGTTTAAAAATGAAAGAATGAAAGATTAATCAAGCAAATCTAAAGGTAAGAAACCTTGATAATAACTTGCTGCTCTGCATAGATCCCATGTGGCCTTGTGTGTGATGAGCTTAGTACCCAAAGGTCACTGGTTCAAACTGTGGAATGAGCTATCCATGCACTAGGGAGTCACTTAGGACCCTGATCCTAATTTCCTGAAGCAGGGCAATTAACCCCGGACTGCTCCAGGGGAATGTCGCCCCAAAGAAAAAGTATTAGAAATTGGTTTGGTTTAAAACCATCTTGTCAAAATGACAAAAAAA